CCCCCCCCCCCCCCCCCCCCCCCCCCCCCCCCCCCCCCCCCCCCCCCCCCCCCCCCCCCCCCCCCCCCCCCCCCCCCCCCCCCCCCCCCCCCCCCCCCCCCCCCCCCCCCCCCCCCCCCCCCCCCCCCCCCCCCCCCCCCCCCCCCCCCCCCCCCCCCCCCCCCCCCCCCCCCCCCCCCCCCCCCCCCCCCCCCCCCCCCCCCCCCCCCCCCCCCCCCCCCCCCCCCCCCCCCCCCCCCCCCCCCCCCCCCCCCCCCCCCCCCCCCCCCCCCCCCCCCCCCCCCCCCCCCCCCCCCCCCCCCCCCCCCCCCCCCCCCCCCCCCCCCCCCCCCCCCCCCCCCCCCCCCCCCCCCCCCCCCCCCCCCCCCCCCCCCCCCCCCCCCCCCCCCCCCCCCCCCCCCCCCCCCCCCCCCCCCCCCCCCCCCCCCCCCCCCCCCCCCCCCCCCCCCCCCCCCCCCCCCCCCCCCCCCCCCCCCCCCCCCCCCCCCCCCCCCCCCCCCCCCCCCCCCCCCCCCCCCCCCCCCCCCCCCCCCCCCCCCCCCCCCCCCCCCCCCCCCCCCCCCCCCCCCCCCCCCCCCCCCCCCCCCCCCCCCCCCCCCCCCCCCCCCCCCCCCCCCCCCCCCCCCCCCCCCCCCCCCCCCCCCCCCCCCCCCCCCCCCCCCCCCCCCCCCCCCCCCCCCCCCCCCCCCCCCCCCCCCCCCCCCCCCCCCCCCCCCCCCCCCCCCCCCCCCCCCCCCCCCCCCCCCCCCCCCCCCCCCCCCCCCCCCCCCCCCCCCCCCCCCCCCCCCCCCCCCCCCCCCCCCCCCCCCCCCCCCCCCCCCCCCCCCCCCCCCCCCCCCCCCCCCCCCCCCCCCCCCCCCCCCCCCCCCCCCCCCCCCCCCCCCCCCCCCCCCCCCCCCCCCCCCCCCCCCCCCCCCCCCCCCCCCCCCCCCCCCCCCCCCCCCCCCCCCCCCCCCCCCCCCCCCCCCCCCCCCCCCCCCCCCCCCCCCCCCCCCCCCCCCCCCCCCCCCCCCCCCCCCCCCCCCCCCCCCCCCCCCCCCCCCCCCCCCCCCCCCCCCCCCCCCCCCCCCCCCCCCCCCCCCCCCCCCCCCCCCCCCCCCCCCCCCCCCCCCCCCCCCCCCCCCCCCCCCCCCCCCCCCCCCCCCCCCCCCCCCCCCCCCCCCCCCCCCCCCCCCCCCCCCCCCCCCCCCCCCCCCCCCCCCCCCCCCCCCCCCCCCCCCCCCCCCCCCCCCCCCCCCCCCCCCCCCCCCCCCCCCCCCCCCCCCCCCCCCCCCCCCCCCCCCCCCCCCCCCCCCCCCCCCCCCCCCCCCCCCCCCCCCCCCCCCCCCCCCCCCCCCCCCCCCCCCCCCCCCCCCCCCCCCCCCCCCCCCCCCCCCCCCCCCCCCCCCCCCCCCCCCCCCCCCCCCCCCCCCCCCCCCCCCCCCCCCCCCCCCCCCCCCCCCCCCCCCCCCCCCCCCCCCCCCCCCCCCCCCCCCCCCCCCCCCCCCCCCCCCCCCCCCCCCCCCCCCCCCCCCCCCCCCCCCCCCCCCCCCCCCCCCCCCCCCCCCCCCCCCCCCCCCCCCCCCCCCCCCCCCCCCCCCCCCCCCCCCCCCCCCCCCCCCCCCCCCCCCCCCCCCCCCCCCCCCCCCCCCCCCCCCCCCCCCCCCCCCCCCCCCCCCCCCCCCCCCCCCCCCCCCCCCCCCCCCCCCCCCCCCCCCCCCCCCCCCCCCCCCCCCCCCCCCCCCCCCCCCCCCCCCCCCCCCCCCCCCCCCCCCCCCCCCCCCCCCCCCCCCCCCCCCCCCCCCCCCCCCCCCCCCCCCCCCCCCCCCCCCCCCCCCCCCCCCCCCCCCCCCCCCCCCCCCCCCCCCCCCCCCCCCCCCCCCCCCCCCCCCCCCCCCCCCCCCCCCCCCCCCCCCCCCCCCCCCCCCCCCCCCCCCCCCCCCCCCCCCCCCCCCCCCCCCCCCCCCCCCCCCCCCCCCCCCCCCCCCCCCCCCCCCCCCCCCCCCCCCCCCCCCCCCCCCCCCCCCCCCCCCCCCCCCCCCCCCCCCCCCCCCCCCCCCCCCCCCCCCCCCCCCCCCCCCCCCCCCCCCCCCCCCCCCCCCCCCCCCCCCCCCCCCCCCCCCCCCCCCCCCCCCCCCCCCCCCCCCCCCCCCCCCCCCCCCCCCCCCCCCCCCCCCCCCCCCCCCCCCCCCCCCCCCCCCCCCCCCCCCCCCCCCCCCCCCCCCCCCCCCCCCCCCCCCCCCCCCCCCCCCCCCCCCCCCCCCCCCCCCCCCCCCCCCCCCCCCCCCCCCCCCCCCCCCCCCCCCCCCCCCCCCCCCCCCCCCCCCCCCCCCCCCCCCCCCCCCCCCCCCCCCCCCCCCCCCCCCCCCCCCCCCCCCCCCCCCCCCCCCCCCCCCCCCCCCCCCCCCCCCCCCCCCCCCCCCCCCCCCCCCCCCCCCCCCCCCCCCCCCCCCCCCCCCCCCCCCCCCCCCCCCCCCCCCCCCCCCCCCCCCCCCCCCCCCCCCCCCCCCCCCCCCCCCCCCCCCCCCCCCCCCCCCCCCCCCCCCCCCCCCCCCCCCCCCCCCCCCCCCCCCCCCCCCCCCCCCCCCCCCCCCCCCCCCCCCCCCCCCCCCCCCCCCCCCCCCCCCCCCCCCCCCCCCCCCCCCCCCCCCCCCCCCCCCCCCCCCCCCCCCCCCCCCCCCCCCCCCCCCCCCCCCCCCCCCCCCCCCCCCCCCCCCCCCCCCCCCCCCCCCCCCCCCCCCCCCCCCCCCCCCCCCCCCCCCCCCCCCCCCCCCCCCCCCCCCCCCCCCCCCCCCCCCCCCCCCCCCCCCCCCCCCCCCCCCCCCCCCCCCCCCCCCCCCCCCCCCCCCCCCCCCCCCCCCCCCCCCCCCCCCCCCCCCCCCCCCCCCCCCCCCCCCCCCCCCCCCCCCCCCCCCCCCCCCCCCCCCCCCCCCCCCCCCCCCCCCCCCCCCCCCCCCCCCCCCCCCCCCCCCCCCCCCCCCCCCCCCCCCCCCCCCCCCCCCCCCCCCCCCCCCCCCCCCCCCCCCCCCCCCCCCCCCCCCCCCCCCCCCCCCCCCCCCCCCCCCCCCCCCCCCCCCCCCCCCCCCCCCCCCCCCCCCCCCCCCCCCCCCCCCCCCCCCCCCCCCCCCCCCCCCCCCCCCCCCCCCCCCCCCCCCCCCCCCCCCCCCCCCCCCCCCCCCCCCCCCCCCCCCCCCCCCCCCCCCCCCCCCCCCCCCCCCCCCCCCCCCCCCCCCCCCCCCCCCCCCCCCCCCCCCCCCCCCCCCCCCCCCCCCCCCCCCCCCCCCCCCCCCCCCCCCCCCCCCCCCCCCCCCCCCCCCCCCCCCCCCCCCCCCCCCCCCCCCCCCCCCCCCCCCCCCCCGAAGTCTTGAGGCACCACATTACCCTCTGTGTTCGGTTTAAGTAGCTTGTTCTGTGACAGTACAAGCGACCAGTGCCCCGTTACAACCGGCAGTACTTCGTAGTCCGTCCAACGACCATGAATACGTTGCATGATAAAGCAAAAGACTTCCATTCAACGCACAAGAGCTACTTCCATTTCAGCCAAATCGAATTGGATGCTTTGAATCGCTTGAATTCGACGATAGGGTAAGAAGCCGTAGGCGCAATGCTGTCCGCTCTAGGTCCAGACGGGCAACACGCTACCATCACCAAGTTCATTAAAAATGAATTTGACGCTGAACGGGGAAAGGTAGCCTTGCTTTACCAACAAGGGTCTCAACAGACAGAGCTTTCAACAGAACAGAGTGATAAACATATTGAGCAGTTGAGACAGCAACATTGTAGCGGAGCTACACAGCTCTTTAAGTCAGAAGAATACTTATTTAACAAGCCAACGGCTGACAGCATATTAGTTCTACGGAACTAATACATCAAGTTAAAGAGTCACCCATTTCTATGGAGCTCGGGTGGACTCTACGATCTAACAGCTCAACTACTGTGTAGTTCTAGAGAACCACAAGCACAATGTGCAGGGGAATAGGAGTCTAAGGACTCTCTAATCTACGGCACTTCTCAGAAACTGCAGGGCACAATGTGCAAAGGAGGTGAAGTCTAGGGACTTCTGCTCAAATGAGAACTGAACTTTAATTAGATTTCATATCAAGAAAATCCTACTTTAAGTACCCTGTATTACACTAAACTAGATCTAATACAAATACTATCATTCGAACTAAATGGATGGTTGCCACATCACTCATTCATCAAATGATGACGGCACAAAGAACGCACACGGTGAGTACCATAAACCTGGGAATATCGATCGATCGATATTCTCTTGCTGATATAAAATCTAAGATCGCACACATTCATCCATCTCATTTAGGGGAGTTTTTCGGCCAGTTTAGCCAATGGCTATTGTGACCCCGTTACACCCCCCCACCGGACTGACGTTACCACAATCGTCACTCGATTAATTCTCCCATTGAGACTTATTACAAAAGTAACACACTCCCATGTACCGACCTGGACACCTCCTGAAAGATAAGGCTCTAGTCGGATTCCTTGATGTTAAGAACGTGGACTTTGACAGCGGTAGTGGTACCAAAGTCGAGGAAAGGAGCAATCCAAACCCAGCACACCTGTGCGTGGGGACAATCCCCATCTGGCACCTAATTTGGCCCCGAACGTAGTGCCGCGACTGCGCTAACAGCGCTGGGAGCAAATGTCCCCCATGGACACATCCATTATCACTAACCCGCTTGACGAGGAGCAACAACGCATGCTCGATCAAGCGTCAAGCGCACGGCGCAAGTTAGAAGTTCAGACAACGTTGCGACGACACAGTAAATTTACGTTTACTCCACCTGGCGTGGAAAGAGCTATTTTGTCAAGCGTCACGCCATACTTTGGCAACATGGGCCACCGGCCCCGAGGCGGAAAAGCCCAATGAACTTGAATGCCGTAAGGCTCTTCGAGAGAGGCACTTGGAATCTACTGTGATGACTTTGAGTCAGTACATTAAACGGCTGCAAAATCAGGCCCAAGGAACACTGGTTCCGCAAATTAGGGGTATACCCATCATTATGGTCGAAGATGGGGACGAAATTGCGGAGGACAATGTGTCCATCCGCTGGGTGCATGGCGTTCGACGCCTCAGTAACATGCACGCGCTACACGAAAGTGCCAGTGTGGCAGACATTCGTCTAGAGCGAAAGTTTTGCTATGACTTCGCGAGGTTAAAGGCCATAGGCCGTATGCGGGGAGTATCACGCTCCCGCTATGCTTCAGCTGCCTCTCCAGTCGCGAGTTTACGTCAATCTTTTGACGCGAACTCGCCCGCTCTCACTACGAAGAGTGAGAAGCATGACGCTCATCAAGACGAGCTTGGCAGTCTTGCCGAAGGGGAATCTCATACTCCCATGAGTTTTCAGACTCAGGGTACCCACGCCACTTCACCAGATATTGATAGGGACCATGACGACGGCGTCGTTGAAGTACCCGCTCCACATGGAACTATAAGTTCCCTTGCTTATCAAGCAACGCCGGTGGCGGTCGGAGTATCGTCTGAAATCCATGCTGAGTTGGTAAAGAAAGTAGAGGATCTCGGTGAGACTTTGGGTCAGACTCAGAACGCCCTATGCGAAGTCCAATCTCGTCTGGAGACGTTGGAAGGCGATTGCGCCCGTCTTCAAATGATGGAGTCACGTCAGACTCGTGTCGAGGCTCAACTTGACCTCTTAATTCGGATGCAACATCCTGTGGCAACGACAATGTAAGCGGCGCAAGCGCCTTCAAGTCAACATGGGACGGGTCCCGGTATGGCTTAAGCAGGCTGACATAAAAGACGGGATTTGTACGCAATTTGCGCGGCAAGTTTAGGGTATAAGTAAGGCCCTTATTGGCCACGACCGTAAAAGGTCCAATGAAGCGCAGACGCAACTTCGTTTTAAAAACAGCTGACACTACATTTGTTGGTAGATTTTTAGCGCTTAGCAAGACTTGGTCCCCAACCTCATAGTATTTCAATGCAATTTCTGCCTTTGGCATCTGCTTGTTCCTTTTGTTTATCTTGGCTATCAGCCATTGCATCTCGAAAATGTCTTAAGACATTTAACCTGGTTGCAAGGAACTCACCAATCCTGTTTCTGAACAGTGGCAGGGCTGACATCAGCAAGCCGATCGGCAATCCCTCCCCAACCAAGCCCGGAACCACGGAGTGGTATCGTCAATGGGACGCGCGGATGGGTGAGGCCGTTAACATAGAACGGGGTGTAGCCAGTCGAGGCATGGACCGAATTGTTCATGGCAAATTCGACCACCAGAAGCATAGAGCTTAAACGCCTAGGCGTATCTGCACAAACGCTGCGCAAATGTCACCAAAGACACGATTAACACGTTCAGTTTGACCATCGGTCTGCGGATGATCCGCGGTGGACATGTCCAATCTGGTACCGAGCACATTGAAGATGGACTTCCAAATTTGCTCCGTAAAGCGAGGATCGCGATTTGAAACAATTGCCAAAGGCAAACCGTGTTGACAAAACATGCGATCGATAAACAGCTGTGCTGTACGTTCACCATCAATCGAAGCCGGCACAGCCGCTTAATGAGTCATCTTACTCAAATGGTCAACAAAGACCACAATACCCGTGTTGCCGTCAAAATCTGTTGGTAAACCAAACACAAAGCCCATGCTGATGTATTCCCAACAACCCGTAGGTATAGGCAAACTCGCTAAAGGCGCAGCCGCGTGAGCGAAGGGTTTGACACGTTGGCACGTTTCACACGTACGCACATATGTGCTCACCCATTTATGTAATTTGGGCCACCAATATTATTGGCTGACCGAGCCATAGGTCTTCTCTCTACCAAGATGAACGCTCAAAGCTGTATCATGCGCCCCAAAGAGGATACGATACTTCAATTCCTCATCATGAGGTACCACGATGCGCGGAGTATCCGCAGCATCCGTGCTATAGCACAAGAGACCATGATCATAAGAATTTTGATGTAGCCCTGCACGCGAGCGTACCGACAATTTAATGTACGAGTCTTTAAACTCTTCACGAATGAGTGCGCGTAACAACGCGACACACTGACCATCCTTGGCATAAGCCGCACGGATAAAATCAGGGATAGAATACGACAGAGTCGTAACATGATCAAGCTCATAATCCGGCCTGCGTGATAACGCATCGGCCAAAGCATATTTGGTTCCCTGGTTTATACTTCACCTAGAAATTATTCTCAGGCGAGAATGAATCCCAACGGTCCATCCATTGCGAGAGATGAGGCGACTGGGTCGCAGTGCGCAACGACGCGTGATCCATGTCGATTACAAACGGCTTGGAGCCAAGTAGATTTACTCTGAACTTGACAAGAGCATACTTCATTGCAAGTAACTCCTTTTCATGAACTGAATAGTGCTTTTCAGCAGCTTTTAGCTAGCGAGACTCATACGCAATAAATCGTTCATGTCGATCGACATCAGTTTGCAACAATGCACTGCCAATGGCAAAATCATATGCGTCACAGACGACGGTGAAAGGTCGCTCCGGGTCAGGCAAAGCCAAAATTGGAGCATGAAGAAGGCTCTCCTTAAAAGCTTGAAAAGCTTGTGCCTGAGCCGATTCCCAATACCAAACCGCGTCCTTTTTAAGGAGAGTGGTTAATGGCCTTACCATGTCAGCATAGTTTGCACTAAACTTGTGTGAGTAATTGGCTAAACTAAGCCATTTACACATGTTTTTTGGGTTAGACGGAACCGGCAAATCCACAATGGATTTTAATTTGGCGGGATCTGCCCGTAGGCCGCGCTTTCCAATGAATTACCCTAGAAAAGGGATTTCTTCAGCACCATTTTTTATAGATGCATTTGCATACAACTTGCTGGTGCGCATGCACCCGAGCACTGCTCGTAAATGATCAATGTGATTTTCCATATCTGATCTTCCTTGTTCTTCACGGCTATGGACAAAAATGTCATCAAAATAACTTTGCACATATCCTCTGAAAGGGCGAAACAACTGCGTCACGAGACGATTAAAGGTTGCGGGGGCATTAGAAAGTCCCTGAGGCAAAACAAGCCGCTCGGCGTGCAAACCGCTGTGAGCGGAATATCACTCGCTCGCATAAGCAGTTGGCAAAAACCATCGACTCAGTCGAGTGCGCTAAACATAATGCAACCCACCATAGCGTTCTATAGAACACCCTTTCCAGGAAAAGGCGTCTGTGCTGGTATAGTGGCCGCATTGAGCTAATTGTAAGCGTGCACGATACGCCACTTACCATTAGGCTTTCTGACACAAAATGTCGGTGTCGAGTGTGGCGATTTGCTCTCCCGCACCATGCCTGCAGCATGCTTTTCACGAAAGAACTCGTCAATGACGTCACACTGCTCCTTAGGTAATGGCCATTGCCGTGTGACACAGTATTTGGTCCCAGGGACCAGGTCAATTTCATGACGCACCCTTCTGTCGGGAGGTAGAGTGGATGGTGGATCATGACACACCACGTCCTGAAATTCCTTTACCAAAGGATAGAAGGGATCCGAAGGATTCTTCAAAATGGCAGATCCACTGCGAGAACTGAGTGTAATTTTAACGTCCTCAAGGACTGTCTAATTTACAAGTGATGACGAATTTAACTCAGGAATAGGTCTAAGGACCACCATATCGGATGGAGCACCAGACTTTAAGGCTTGATGAAATCCGTCTACAGACAATTCGTTTAGCTCTAGCAGATCACTAATCGATGGGAGGGCCTCGAAGCCAACTTCTCGATCAATAGCACCCGACACCCCATTGAATGACGTGTACAACTGTTCACTAGTGTCCTTCTGGGTCATGGCAGAAGCCTTTCTTTTAAAGCCGCGATCTAACGTCGCTTTCGTCTCTGTGCAGTGCTTAACTCTTTAACGTGTTAAGAACATCCGGTATCACGAGGTCAAGATTATCTTTAACCTCAAACTGCTCTCTCAGAGAGTCAATGTCATTACCGACATTGAGTGGGGTGCCATCACGGCCGACCTCACTCTGTGGATGTTTACGCGCCACTCCACGCGCATCTGTTGAGCATAGCTCTTGATACCTTGGCGCATCGCCAACAATGTCATTACCGACATTGAGTGGGGTGCCATCACGGCCGACCTCACTCTGTGGATGTTTACGTGCCACTCCACGCGCATCACAGGGATCACGCCCTGGATGACTCGGCCTTAAGCCATTAATGCTTCCAGTATTCAGTGAATCACTTTCATTACTAGTGTCACTCAACGGAATACGTGCCGTTTCACTATTGTCAATGACATCAGAGTTAACCAGCTCAGACACTCCAATGTCAAGCACACTGACAGACTCCGTCAGTGGCGCGCGCCAATAGCGCTTTTGTTGCCTAGCAAAAGTGGGCTCATAACTCTCCAAAACTTCACTGGAAATGTTGCGCGTTGCGCCGAAGGTCTTCGACCTCCAATCAACGCATGGCTCATGGCGTTCAAGCCAAGCCATACCAAGGATGAGATCATATCCCGAGTCCAAATCCAGGACAAGACAAAGTTCGATACTATCGAAATCTATAAATTTCACACCTAACTTCAACGGAACTTAAGGTACGATGGCACGAGTACCTGTCGCTAAGCAAACAGCGATAAAATCACCCTCATGCGCTTTCAGCGCCTCAGCATATTGCTGACATCCCTCTAGGGACGTCGAGCATAGTTGCCTGACGCTCCAAAGTCAATCAACATTGACCACGGCTCTTCCAGGCCCTTAATTTTAGCCGAGGCCACTAACAATCCTGGCTTACACTCACGTCTCGTGGAAACTTCTACAAGAACGTCTGGGGCTAAGCCTTGTCTATCTTTACCACCTAAATATTCGGCAGAACCTAGTTCATCCCCAGTAGGGCGCCAGCGCCTACTGGGAGTCGCCGTTTTCCCGCTCCGTACCCACTTTCGGGTTAGATAGAGGATTGCGGCTCGGCCGACTTTTACGCGCTTCCGCAGTGGGCACTGAGGGCGCAAGTGATTAGTGCTTCCGCACATGTAACATCTACGGATGTTACGTTGCTGTTCGACAGCCAGAATATATCTCACTTTTTCTATAGAATGGCTGAGGTCCAAAGGCTCAGCCCCGTCAAATGATCGTTAAGCATGCCCATGAGTGCCATAGCGAGTGGCTATAAAGTTAAACTTAGCATTTAAAGCTATGTCTACGGCCCCTTCAAACGTTAAAGGGGTTGACGCAAGACTTCCGTCCTCGCAATCCCCGTACTAAGGCCCTTTATAAAATTGGTGATGCGGACTTGCGCTTGAACAGGGTCCAGCTGCATTGCAGCTATGAGAGTTTGCAACTCTTGGACAAAGTCCGATAATTCTCTTTTTCCCTGCATGGCGGCTAGAAATCGAGAGCGAACACGATCCGCTTGATTCGGTGGCACGAACACCCGAGACATCTCTCGTTTAAGCGAATCTAATGTGGGAAACGTAGCGCTAACCGACGTATAACAGTAAAGAGTCCATAATTTGGCTCTACCACCGAGCTTAGAAATGGTTAGGCCAACTTTCTGTCGCTTCGATCGAAGCAAAGCGGCTTTAATAGCCATATCGATTTCTCGGGTTTAGAGGAAAGGACTTTCCCACTCTTTTCCCTCGAAAGTCTTAACGCTAAGTGTGAGCGGACGAGTCTTTGACTCACTGTCAGGTACTGGAAAGTGCCGCGTAGGTACGGTTGAGGCGAAATGGTCGTGGCCCTGCACTATCAGCGTAGCCTTAAACTGC